TGGTCACTTGTCCCATCACCTCCTGGCAAATAGAAGGGGAAGATATGGAGGCAGTGACAGATTTTACTTTCATGGGCTCCATGATCACTGCAGATGGTGACAGCAGCCATGAAATTAAAAGACGCCTGCTTCTTGGGAGGAAAGCGATGACAACTCTAGACAGCATCTTAAAAAGCAAAGACATCACCTTGCTGACAATGGTCAGCATAGTCAAAGCTATGGTGTTTTTTTTTTTTTACTTGACCATAAAGAAGGCTGACTGCCAAAGAATTGATGCTTTTGAATTGTGGTGCTGGAGGAGACTCCAGAGTCCCCTGGACTGCAAGGAAAACAAACTTATCTATTATGAAGGACATCAACCCTGAGTGCTCACTGGAAGGACAGATCCTGAAGCAGAGGCTCCAATACTTTGGCCATCTCATGAGAAAAGAAGACTCCCTGGAAAAGACCCTGATGTTGGGAAAGTGTGGAAGCAAGAGAAGGGGACGACAGAGGACGAGATGGCTGTCATCAAAGCTACCAACATGAATTTGACCCAACTCCGGGAGGCAGTGGAAGACAGGAGGGTCTGGTATGCTCTGGTACATGGGGTCACAAAGAGTCGGACATGACTTAATGACTAAACAACAAACTTTTTCTCAATTGCATTCTCTTTTTCCATCTATCCAGGTCTTACCCAAAGTCTCTCTCCTACATTTCACATCCAAATCAGTAACTTCTCTTTGATCACCTGCTCTCTCAGCCCGTTGTTTTTCTGTCTTGCAGTCTCCTAAGGTCTTCCTATTACACTAGAGGGTGGAGCACTCATAGTGGTAGGGGAATCCGTGACAGTCTGTCTTGACATGTCAAGGTAGACTATTCAAACCATAAACGGCAGATTGGAAAGATTTTTTCATGCCATACATTATAGTAAACATTGCTACAAAAGGGAAGAAGAAAACAATAAGTGGTTCTGTTGCTCATGGAACAGCTAAGCATGCCGGCATGCAGATGTGTGTATGAATGTATGCATGGACGTGCAAAATTGTCCATGCATGTAGCTTTGTCCTCTATGTATGGGAATGCCTACCCTACATACATGTCTGATGGAAATATGATTCCCTGCCCTATTTGAAGAACCTTGCTCTTTGAATTACCATAAATACAATTTAAAATATACCCTCAGCTTCAAAGAACAAAACTTTCCTCTTTGTGTGCATGGAGTGGAAGAATCTCTGGCAGTGGCCGTTCAGTAGAACTTCACGGTATTTTAGCTTGCATACCCGTCAGCCAAGCACTTTATTTGAAATTCCATCCTCATCTTCTCCACTGTAGACTATGCATACCTGAATCTTTTGGGGATGTGCTTGGCTCAGGCTGATGGTCATGTTGTAGACCTCCAGAGTTACGACCTTGGTGAAGGACACTGCCTTACTGCCTCGGTGGTTATTCTCCACGCTGACCAAAAATGGAGTGAGGGTTGGGTCTTGGGAGCACAGCCCTGCCATCTGATAAACACAGGTGCCCATGAAATCGTATTTCCGACCATCAAAGGTAGTATAGTGAGGGTCTCCACTTCCAATGCAGGTGAGGTATTTGGGAGAATGGCATCCCCGGGTACCATTAACCACCACACATTTTGTGTTGGCCTTGCATCCCTCTTCTTTGCACATAACGTTGCCTTGTTGAGGGTCACACTTGCAGTGAGTGTGGCAATCTTCATCTCCCCAGAACTCCTCCCCTGGTTTATAGTCTATGCCATTGTATTGACAGTCGCAGCTTTCCACCGGGACACAGTTATCACCTCTCATGACATAGCCATCGTTGCACTGGCAGATGGTGGCACAGGTACTCTCACAGGTTGATGGAGCTGTTCGGTTGGAACAGGTAGCTGGGCAAGCATTTCCACAAGACTCATAGTGGCTGTTCTCAGGGCAGGATAATGGGACTGCAGTAGCATCTGGGGTTGTATCTGAACAAAGCCATGTAAAAAATTGGTTAGATTAATTCTGTAGACCAGTGGTTTCCAACCTTGAGTAGAGGCACAGGTACTCTCACAGGTTGATGGAGCTGTTCGGTTGGAACAGGTAGCTGGGCAAGCATTTCCACAAGACTCATAGTGGCTGTTCTCAGGGCAGGATAATGGGACTGCAGTAGTATCTGGGGTTGTATCTGAACAAAGCCATGTAAAAAATTGGTTAGATTAATTCTGTAGACCAGTGGTTTCCAACCCTGAGTAGGCCAGGTGTTCTTGAACTATGACTCCCACAAACCTTGATCCCTTGCTGGACTGTCTGGGGTTTCTGGGAGTTTCAGTCCAAGAACACCTGGGTTATTCAAGGTTGGAAACCACTGCTGTTGACTATTAAAATACATTCCTTATTAAAATAAATCTTTACATTCAGTCTTCCAGCAGCAGCAGCAGCCATAACTTGTTTATTGAGTTATTCAGGATAGCAATATGAGAATGTTTTGGTTAATGTATGGGGAATGTTTCTAGAATTTCTGGATTTGATTCCAAGTTGCACATTTGACATCCAGAGGTGCAAATCTGACAGACAGTAGAAGACAACAGAAGATTTTAGAAGGTGTGCATGGCTTCTATACCTCTGGAGGGCGCTCACCCCTGATTTGATATAGTAATTATTGCTGTTCAAAATGTATCTAAGGTGAGAATGGGATGAATTTTTATCAAGTTTTCTTTTTAAAGTGTCAATTATTTATTTGATTTTGTAGGATTTCACCCTTCTCTCAACTTTGCCAGATCATATTAGATTTAAGAAGGTAGATGTTGTCTTTATTGATACATCATCACCATTTTTAAAAGCGAGTGCAGTAAATTCAAAACATGTCAATAAGTGGTATAAGGAGGCGGGATAAGCATACTGATTTCACCACCAATGACAAAAAAAACTATAATGAGAAAATGGCAAGCCTATAGTATGTACATTTTTTGCACATCTATATTTTTTATCCAATAGGTTCAATCGATGCACAGGATTGTTGGCAAATAAGCCCAGAGGTGAGCAATCTGGTGCCTTCCGGATTACAATGACAAATCCCAGAAGCCCACTCATTGACCATGCTGGGTGGGGCTGATAGGGATGCTGAAAGACACCAATTGGTTTATCACTTCTTTAGACCAGGGATCTGGACTAGCTTCAGTCAAGTGTGCAAAAATGGATTGCATTGGGTATTTATGGGGTTTTGTTGGTATCTGAGTGAAGGAGGAAGGAGTTTCTGATCACCCACAGGTAAAGGTAAAGGGTCTCCTTGACAATTTTTGTCCAGTCATGTTCGACTCTAGGGGGCGGTGCTCATCCCCGTTTCCAAGCCATAGAGCCAGCGTTTTGTCCGAAGACAATCTTCCGTGGTCACATGGCCAGTGCGACTTAGACACGGAACACTGTTACCTTCCCACCGAGGAGGTCCCTATTTATCTACTCGCATTTACATGCTTTCGAACCGCTAAGTTGGTGGGAGTTGGCACAAGCGATGGGCACTCACTCCATCACGTGGATTCGATCTTACGACTGCTGGTCTTCTGACCCTGCAGCACAGGGTTCTGTGGTTTAGCCTGCAGTGCCACCATGTCCCTGATCACCCATAGGGGAGGGCAAAACCCTCTGGATCTTGTGTGTTCCATCAAGCGTTTGTGAGGTTAGAAAGTTTGATCAGAGACATCGAGTGATTTAAAGTGAAGGAAGGAACATTGATGAGATGAGGCTGCTGGTGCCAAGGAGAAAGTGAATGACAGCTGACTCTTGCCCCCACAGTAACGCTCAAAATCTGACCTGGACATTCTGATCACTGAGATGCTAACGAGGGCTCAGCCCTGTAGATTCTTTTGTAGCCCCTCTCCAGACCATTGGAGAAGGTAGAGTGAAAGAAGTGCACCATGGCTGTTAGCTCCAAGTTGAATTCTAGAAATTTACCTTTTCTTCCTCATATAAATTCTCAGCTTACTAAACAGTTTAGGATTAAGTATACACCAGACCCTGGATGAATGACTGCATTCCTCTTGTAACTGATTAGATGGGCTGGATTGGAATAAATATTCACATTTTCTCCATTTGCAAGAATGGATTTCCAGAAACACAAATATCATCATGGACCTGGCAAAGCACTTAGTCAGAATGTCACTAAAAGGGTATTAGCAGTTAGGCATCGCCCATTTGCTCTTATTGGGGCCTGTGTTCTGTTGGGGGCTGCTGAGTGTGCCAAATGAAGACCAGCCATTCTCAACCCTTTTTTCCCCTCAACCCATGGCAATAATCACAATATGAAAGAAATATAAGCCAAATCAGGGTTGTATAAACCACATAACCTTAGGTGATGTGTGAAGAATTGTTTCCAGCCTATGCCCCCCTTCAAATATGCCAGGGCTCCCATTGAGAATGGCTGCTTTAGACTATCATTAAATGTTTAGCTCCAAAAAGATGCCACACATCGTCTTCCTTCTTATGCTTTCACACCTATTTGCTTCATGTGAGCAAATGGGATTTTAAGAGCTTACACAAGGGCATGAGCAGGACCCATTTGCTTTAAAAAGCCCAATCTCCACATGCACGGTGGCAAACAAGATGTCACACAGGAGATTGCTGGACAAATTGTTATGTTCCACCCACTTCCAAGAAGGTAAAGGTAAAGGTTCCCCTTGACATTTTAGTACAGTCATGTCCGACTCTAGGGGGCGGTGCTCATCCCTGTCTCTAAGCCGTAGAGCCAGCATTTGTCCATAGACAGTTTCCGTGGTCAGGTAGCCAGCGCAACTAGACACAGAATGCTCTTACCTTCCCACCGAGGTGGTACCTATTTATCTACTCGCATTTACATGCTTTCAAACTGCTAGGTTGGCAGGAGCAGGGAGAAGCGACGGGAGCTCACTCCATCACGTGGATTCAATCTTACGACTGCTGGTCTTCTGACCTTGCAGCACAGAAGCTTCTGCGGTTTAACCCACAGGGCTACCAAGAAGGGTACCTGCCCATAATTTTAAATGCATGGATGATAATAATACTTACCCGAGGAGCACAGGCCCACAGAACCATAGCCTTCACGCTGTGAAACTCCAAAGAGGAAAAGTCCAAAGGGAGCGCTGGGATGCTCTAGGGTGTTGGCGCTGTTTCCCCTTCCCAAGTTATATTGGGCCCAAGAATATTCTGTGCCCGAGATTGGTCTCCATTTGACATATCTAATGGCTGTCTTCCCTAATGTGATTTCTCCAGCTTCTGAGGTTTTGGCTACAATGACAGCATAATTTTCAAATGAACTCATTGCGTCAAAGTGATATGATCTGCAGTACCTTGCTATGGGTGGAATATTGATGAGGAATGGGTCATATAATTTGCTTCCTCTTGTAGCCCCAGTGAAAAAGAAAAGGACTTGGATTCCGTGATTTGCTGAGATGTAAAGGGACTGCAGTGGCTGAATATTCAACTGGATAACTTCTCCAGCCTCCATCTGACGGGAATTTTGGGCGGACTGAGATTGGTAGGTAATCAGTGTATTTTGGGAAGCAGCTATATACGCTATGTCAGGTTGCCTTTGGAAGACCAATGAGGGAACAATGAAGGTGGTCCCCCAGCTGGCAACAGGAAGGAGTTGGTCTACAACGTGGTCACAGTGTGTGTACTTCTGAGCACAGCTATGGCCACTCAAGACAGCCACTGTTGCATCCGATTCAACTTTGGTGCCAGATAAATCGGTGTGACTCTGCAGCTGGATCACCTGGAAGGCCTCAAGGTTGATGTCTATTGTACTCCCAGAAGGATAAACTTTCTTTTCGAATGTCACAATCCCTTTCAGGTGTATCGTGACTCTAGTTGGGGTTTCATAGGCTATAACTGCAAATTCCTTGAACGTATCTTCCATGCTGCCCTCCGGGGTAATCACGTAATACAAGGTGCCCAACTGCTGGACAGGGTAGACAGCCGTGGTACCTATTGTGTAGTCTTTGTGGTTTCTGGAGTAAACCGAGATCTCTTTGTTGGCTTGGATCAAGACGGCCTTATCATAGATGCTAGACTTTGACATCTCGAGAGAGTTTGGAAGCTCAATTGACAACGTTTGTCCTTGATCGAGAGAAACAGTTCTTTGGAATTGAACACCCTTTGCTATCACTGTAACAGTGGTTTCAGGATGATATCCGGTGAGGAGCACCTCAAGGTTAGTATTGCGCAAGCTTTGCTTGAAGTTATACAGGAAGGCTGTGACAAACGTCTTCCCTGGGGAACTTCCTAAACATGGCCCTGGGGGGAAAAAAGGAAGAAACAAAAGAAAGGGAAAGGAAGAAGAGAGTGAAAAGTAAAGCATAATAACAATAACAATCAGCAGCAACAGCATCAGATGCATCATAATCATCAGATACTTAGTTTTTTGGTTAAGACTTGTATCTGTTACATAATACCAGTCAATGTTTTTATAATTTTGACTGCAGCTGGTGTTTTTATTCTTATTCTTATTATTCTTATGACCTTCAATGGTCCCCATAGTCATTGGGGCTTTGGGAATAATATCAAGAAATTCCACACAGTTCTATAAGCCATTGCAGATCTCAGAAACCAAACCATCAGAGCGACAAAAAGCAGCAATATTAGGAACAGCATACATACTGCGCTGATATTTAACAGATACTTAGATTTTTGGTTAAAATTTGAATCTGTTATATAATACCAGTCAATGTTTTTATAGTTTTGGTAGACTGTGCCTGGTGTTTTGGTGTTTTTGAACAATAATAACAACAATACATTTCACTGGTCTCCGTAATTGTCAGGACTTTGGGAACAATATTAAAAAATTTCACACAGTACTGTAAGCAGTTGCAGATCTCAGAAATAACACCATCAGAGCTACAAAAAATGGCAGTATTAGGAGCTGTGTTGCTAAGTGCCCTTAGAAATACCTTATCCCACTGGATATGTGGGAGTAGGCTTGTTTGCCCATCCAATCTGCTTTGGCATATTAAATAGTGAAGGGAACCATCACATCCTTTAAACGGTAAAGTGGCCTGGGCAAACCCTGATCTTTAGGATTTATCTGTCCAAGCTGCCCAGAAAGATTATCTATTTTTCTAACAATTGTGTTATAGACCTGCAGTGAATAGAAGATTGTGACAGTTACTGGTCTTCCCATCATGCTGCATTACTTCTGGGTGTGTGTGTGTGTGTCAATTGCATTTGCTAGTTAACATATTTGAGAGATATATTCACGATTTTATTTATTTTTGTTGTCAAAACTCTGATGGGAATTTCATTGCAACGTTAAGTGAAATTCGGCAAATCATGGTGGCAAATTAGAGATAATTAAGAAGGTGCTGGTCATGTGAAAGCACCTTGTTAATTAGCTGCAATTACTGTAACTTTCAATTTCCCTTAGGGTGCAACCACAGTATGAAATGCAAGGAATACTCCAGGATTGAGATGAGATTTCCTTTTTGTTTGTTTTTTTCATTGACCACATGGCACAAAAGGAAATGTGACTCAGCCTAGAGCCTCCACCATCTCACTATCTTTAGCTTCTGCCACAGATCCATATACTTCAGTCAGATGGTGTGATCTTTTGAACTGATACAGAAAATCTGCTGTTCCTGCACGCACTCGTAGGAATGGTGACCAAAGCCTCTCTCTGTTGGCCAGACCATTTCTTAAACCAGCTCGAGAATGGTGAACGAAGCGCTCTCAGTCAGCAAGACAGGTTAAGAACAGCAAATAATGCCTCTCTCCATTGGTAAGGTTTTTCTTTGTCTTTAAAAAACCCCTTAGAATAGCAGGAGGGGAAATGAGAGGAGAAAGCTTTGTTTACAGCTTCTTATGTAGGTCTTTTGTAACTGTGCCTCCTACAGGGTTACAATAGAACTGCAAACAAGGCGTTCTTCCTCTCTTCCCATGTGGCCAGTTAATATGAACAGACTGATGGAAACCTAAACTCCCCAGTGTGATTTCACAGTTAGTAAATATGAATGAATTCACATTTCTCTTGCTGTGAACTCACACTCTTACTCTGGAGGAAAATCCTTGTAGGATACCCACCTACTTACTAAGCAGCTGTTTGGAGAGATGGATAAGCTGAATAAACAATATTATAATATGTGCAATATGGAGTGCCAGAAGATTCTTCATTTCCCCCCAAAACTGGAAGAAGTAACATTCTTCTTGGATTGTGCAACTGAAGTAAACCTCCAGCATAATTTACTCACCAGCCCACAGAGCCAAACCACTCAAGAGGAACAGCATCCATCTCATTGCCATGGCTGAAATGAAAGAAATGAAGAGTTTCTTAAAGGATTCTTGTTTCATAAGCCATGCTCTCACAATCTGTTCCCAACCACTCCACTCCTGCTCAGAAAAAGAGAGTCATCCTGCCACTGGACCTAAAAGGTCTGGACGGGGCACAGAGAAGGACGGATTTGTGGTTTCCTGTACATTGCCTGATTGCCAGAAAAAAAAAAAGACTGAACCAAGCCTTTCCAAACATTATCACCTATATCACTGTCTGATCACACCACAGGTGTAACTATTTGTCAAATCCCAATGGACGAAGTTCTATTTAGATGGAAATACCATTGTAAGATACCTGGTTTTGCACCCATCAAGCCATTTGACTCAAACTGCAAGACTTCTAAAGTTAAACGATAGACCTTTTAACTCTTATGCTGTTTATGTCTTTCTCTTGCCCTTTGATGATGTCATTGCTTTATTTTACTTTGCATTTCATTTGTAAACAAAATTTTTCTAGAAATATTTTTTTTATCAATGAGCAGCAGGTAAGTACTTACATGCTGTTCGCCTTGATTTTGAGGCTTTTAGGAAATGTCAGCTAAGCGATTGGACACAGACAAGCCAGCTGTGATACAACACATTTTTACTGAGAAAACAAAGTATGCCAAAACAGACATCTGGGGCTCCTCTTATACAGAGTGAGAAGGCCTTGGAAAATACATTGGTCAGATCCCCTACTAAACCATGGCTGGGCCTAATTTGCAACAAGTTTTGGATCCTTGCCCTAATTGGTGTTCGCACTATGATCTGGTGACCTATTGGTTCTTGACAGGGAATGGAGAGAGATGGAGACCCCCTCTCATTGTTCTTCTAATTTCCTGACTTCCTGGCCCCCCAGATGTGCATTCCTTATCTATATGTTGATGTTGCTCTTCCTGAAGACTGAGGCTCTATTGTGTTGTAAATTGGCTTTTTCACACCTCCCCTGTAACATCAGGTAACATTCCAATGTGTGTCTGGAGGTCACAGAGGCCTTATCCTGTTTCTGGCAGGTCAGCTAAATTTTGATACTTTTGGCGTGAAGAATCTATTTCTATATGTGTGCTACCTTACTATATGTTGCTATATCTTTCACTACTTTTATTTTTTCAATACCTGCTCGCTATCAATGCTGTTCATATACCTGGAGAGGAGCAGAAAAATAACTGTATGTACAGCAGGTAAAACTACAGAAGCCTCTGTGCTGCAAGGTCAGAAGACCAGCAGTTGTAAGATTGAATCCAGGTGACAGAGTGAACTCCCATCACTTGTCCCAGCTCCTGCCAACCTACCAGTTCGAAAGCATGTAAAAATGGGAGTAGATAAATACAGTAGGTACCAACACGATGGGGAGGTAACAGCGTTGTGTGTCTAATCATGCAGGCCACGTGACCATGGAAACTGTCTATGGACAAATGCTGGCTCTACAGCTTGAGACGGGGATGAGCACCGCGCCCTAGAGTCGGACACGACTGGACTAAATGTCAAGGGGAATCTTTACTTTTACAACAGGTCAATATTTTTCAAATGTATGAATGCCTCCACTTGGCTTAGTTAAGGAACAAAACAGTTGCTCAAAGGCATTTTATCTAACTATAGAGCCAAAATGCAAGCAGTCAACAACCAGATGTACACATACAATCAGTAAATATCAAATGGCATGAACAGCCCAATCAGAACTAAAACAGTAGCGCCGATGTGAAAATTATTCAAGTAGAAAGGTGAAACAAGTCCTTTTGTATTAGCAATGTTTTTGACAGCTGTCTAAATACCATAAGACTGGCAAACTTTCCTCTGCATAGTAAATTCCTGAAAGGAGGGTCCACCACTTAAAAGGCCATTCTGAAAATTTTTATCTCCATAAACTTGAGCCTCATTTGCTTGAGTACTTGAGACTTGAAAAAAAGTTTGAAAGAAAAGGTCTCTCTCAAATCTCTTTCAGCCTAGTGATTTTTAAGCTGTAGCGCACTGGGGGAATAGCATGTAGAATTTAGCAAACCAAACACAACACAATCCAGTGCAATGACAATGGCCTAATTCTTGATCCTCTGAAGGAGGATTTAGTTCAACCAGCAATTGAACTAAATGTTATTATGAAATTGCAGGATGGTTCTCGATGGGTTGGAGTGCCTAACTGCAGGGTTGAGGTTGGCTCTTTGGACTCCCACTGTGCCTGTTGATAGATGGTTTTGGCTAAGATCTCTTGGAGTGGGTGTAGTTGATGGGGTTATGTGCCCTGCCAACCTGAGCAGTCTTGGGCAAGCTGTATGGTTCTAAAGTGCCACCGGAAGGATGGATTGATAAACTTTATACCTAGCAAAGTTTAGGAAGGATCACCATCAGTTGGAGTCAACTTGACACCACTCAATTATTAGCAAAGGTGGATCTAGCCTTAGCATTCAGATTTTATGCCTTATTCCTTGGGAGTGTGTGACCTGAACCAGAATACAGTGATGCCTTGCAAGACAAATGCCTCACGCAATGAAAAACTCGCAAGATGAAAGCGTTTTGCAATATATATATATTTTTTTGGTGACTCACAAGACAAATTTTTCTATGGCTGAGCTGCGCAAGATGATTTCCCCCCCCTTTTTTTGTTTTAAATCGCACAACCATTAGTACCGCGCTTCGCAAGATGAAAATTTCGCAATACGACATGACTCGCGGAATGAATTAATTTCGTCTTGCGAGCCGAGGCATCACAGAATTACCACAACTGCAATCCTATACTTGCTTCCTTGGAAGGAAGCCACACTAGATCTTGCTTTTTGGCACCCAGTGCTGTTCATTGCTACTGAAAACCCCTGAATTAAAATAAAAACTGACCATTGGAAGAGAGCAGATCACCTTCTGTGGAAAGTGAAAGGTAGAGAGAACAGAGCAGAAGAGTTAGGGGTCCTGCATTTTACTACAATACAATTACCTACAATAATTTACTACCGTAGCATATCTACTTACCCATTGCAACCATGCTGTCTACATTATACCTCCAAAAGTATAGTACATTAGACTCATTTGCACCATTTTCCCCTGGTAGCCTGCAGATAATTTATGCTTATGATCCTCAAACATAGGTTCTGGTATCTGGCGCTTATAGGACTTGTAGTCCAAAACATCTGGCAGGCCTAGGCAGACCCTCCTTTGGCTCCAGTGGCTTCATTGGTTTAGGCAGAAGAAGGCAGATCATGAAATGAAAGCTAGGTAGATAGTAAGGATGGAAAAATTTTCTGAAGGTAGTTTTGTCATTGCTGGCAAGGACTGCAAGAAATGTGGTGCCCCAAGAGAATTATTACATTTGTGAAAATTCTGTTTTGCACAAAATAGCCCATTATGTGTCAAAAGTGATTTCTATGGCTAGAATTTTGCTTGTCTTTTCATTATGTTATGACTGGATGGATTTGGCATGAGAATTTCAATGAGAATTATGAAATTCAATTGTGTAACCAGTCACATGATTCTCTTCACAACTGATTGGACAATGCATCGATGGAAGTGCTATATTAATAACACTTCTGCCTTGAAGTAATTAGAGTTGTTACCTGGGTAATGTTGAATTAATCAAATGTAGCTGCTCAGTATAATTTTAGCTTATGGAAACAATGGGCAATTCTGTGAAAAATGGCACAATTCAAACAACTTTGAAAACTGGCCAAAAGTGAGATGACTGCTATTTGTTTATGAGTTTGAAATTCAATTCTTAAAACAACAATAACATCACCCCCTCTGGTTTATGAATCTGGGATGTTGCACTTCTGGATCCATGATTCAAAATGCAAGAAATGGCCCAATATTGCTGCATAACATCATGCCCACATTGCCAGCAGGAAAAAGGATGTCAAGCTTTACATAGCAAAGGACAGACTCAATGTTCATGGCAGCAATCAAGGTGGTTCTACAGGATACCCTCTTGTGACTATCACTAATGATACCCTATCATTAACAAGGAGACACCAAGCAAGGGACAATCCAAGAAGCTGACTCCTTTTTTTTTTCATCAGTTAACCAGTTCTCACCCAAACACAAAGCAATTGTGAGGGCTTGTTTTTATAACAAGTGTGATTGCTGTCAGCACAAGATCTTGGATAATCGCTGCCCTGACTTGGAACATGTATGCTTATCAGTCATCACACATAGAAGTATTTACTTTTTATTTTAAAAAGTTATCCAAAAGGAAAGAGTAGAACGGAGCACGAATCTCAATGGGGGAAAACTAAAGAATTATCTTAAAGAGAAAGGGAAGAAAGATTCCAAACCTGTACCAAGTGACTTAGGCTTAAATTGGAAGCAGAACTGCTCTCGACAGAAGTAAAAACAAAGTAAAGCAGATTGATAATATGGATATAAAATAAGAATTAAGATAGGTATTATTAAGATTGCGAAGAAAATAAATGTTTGGTGGAAAATAAGGAAGTAAAAAGGTTAAAGACTTAAAATAAGGAAGTAAAAATGTCAAGTCACCTTCGACTCATGGCGATTCTATGAATGAGCCATCTCCAAAATGTCCTGTCCTCAACTGTCCTGCTCAGATCTTGCAAACTCAAGCTTGTGGCTTCCTTTAGGGAGTCGATCCATCTTGTATTTGGTATTTCCTCTTTTCCTGCAACCTTTCCTAGCATTATTATTTTCCCCACAAATTTTGCCTGCTCTTGATGCACTCAAAGTAGGGCAGCCTCAGTTTCAACATTCTTCCCTCCAGGGATAGTTTCAGATTTGGTTTGATCTTCAACCCACTCGTTTGTTTTTCTGGCCATCCAGGGTATCCATGAAGCCCTCCTCCAGCATCATATTCTCACACTCATCACCCACCTCCCTACCCTGTCAGCTTTCTTCACTGCCCATCTTTCATACCTGTACAGAGTGATCAGGAATACAACAGTATATTGTGTTGAAGAGGGTGGATGCCTCTTGGTCTTGTGCCTCAAGCTGTAACCATTTATTTCACCTAATATGAGTCCAAGATGCAAAGGAGTCTGGCCTCTTGATGACATTGCTCTCACCTTCACTGACATTCAAAGCCCTTCACCCTAATAAAATGTGCGTCCAAGAAGGGGTTTTAATCATTCTTAACCCCCCCCCAAGCTTCTGTAAGCAACGGAAAACCTGGCTTTTTACCCAGGCCTTTACAGATCTCACCCCTTTGTGATATTAATTTTATAGTGAGCCGGCCCTTGGCTCTCCAAATGGATTTTGGTTTTTGTATGCTCAGTTCTCTCAATTTTCTTTTCGTTTAATTGTTGTATTGTACACTTTTGTTATTTCCTGGAAGCCACTCAGAGGAGTGGCTTGCCCACTAAATAGGTGGGGTATAAGTTTAAATAAATAAATAAATAAATAAATAAATAAATAAATAAATAAATAAATAAATAAATAAATAAATAAATAAATAAATAAATGA